TCAATTTTTAACTTTTTAACTTTTTTAAATTTTTGTGTCAGCCAGAACCACCTCCCATACGTGCTGATTCTGAAAATATATTTAGTTTTCCTCTAGGCTACGGAGTTTTCTAGTATGGACTAATTCGGCTGAACAACTTTATATATATAAATATCGACTCTTCAATAATTTATTTCACATAATGTTGAGGATGATGGATCACAGTTTAGCGAAATATGTCTATGTTTTTGCGAAGCCATTTAGCTTCCGAAACTCATCTCGCTAATCGGTGGCTAATATCATGCATCTTACTAAACACCGATAGCTTAATAAAGTCGTCATACCCAGCTATTAGTCTTCGAATATTATCTAGTTTATAGCCTTAGTTATCTATTATAAATATACTTACTTGTATATAATAGATAATCTGATCTACTTCAAATTAGTCATTAAGTTATAATCTTGTATGCGGGCGGGGGGGGGCGGCGACTCATAGTAACATCATCGTGGCACATACGCGTAAACGCAAGCGCGCGTACGCATGCACGCACACACACACACAAACACGCATAAACACGCACACACATACCATCGCACACGCGCATATGCCTTCACGCAAAAGCACGCACGCGCGCAGTAAATATCCGCATCTACGCGGTGCTTCGGAAAACGCAAGTTATTTTTCTTCGCGTGCGTATCTCGGCGGCTCATACGCTGAGAATTCAGCTGCGCGATTCATGAGTAGTGTCTCTGTGAAACATCACTCATACAGTATCTGTTAAATTTCGCGGACGTGCATACATGCTTTCCGTAAGCACGGAAAGAAAATGGCGGGAAGGGAAATGTGAATAAATGCTATACTATAAGCTATGATATAAGCTATTATATATGCTATAATATAATGAGAATAATTTGCTTTTAATGAGATAACAACAATTAACATGCACTATGTAACAACAATTACTACACCAAAGGTTAATACTGACAACAATTAGTACTGACAACAATTAATAATAACAACAACAAAATGGTACGATTTTCGTGAGAATGCAGTTGCCGCGAGGAGGCGCGCATGTCCGGACAATTTCGTTAAATGGGGTGAATGGATAGGCAATTCCTCTTAACGTTCCTTAGAGAATAGTGTTCACGCACGCACGAATGCAAACACACGCATTCGTGCGCACACAAACCTACACAAATTTGCACATACACACACGCTCACGCACACACACACACACACACACACACACACACACACACACACACACACACACACACACACACACATATATATATATATATATTATTTTACTTAGCGGTTAGAACGTATTTATCAGTATGTTGATTATATAATCGCGGCTTTCCTGCTCGTAGGTCGATTCATCGCCGATAGATGGCGGCTATGGCGTGCGCGTCAATGTCGTCTGCCCGTCCGCAATAAAGACGGTTCTACACACGGAGATCGTGTTTCCGAGCGAGGAGGTGAAGAGACGGACGAATGCAGCACTGCAGCCGATAATAGACCAGCAAATGCCGTAAGCAATTATCATCCACACGGCTCTACACCCTCCCCCATCTCTCTCTATCTATATATCTATCTGTGTATTATCTATCTATCTATCTATCTATCTATCTATCTATCTATCTATCTATCTATCTATCTATCTATCTATCTATCTAT